AGACCTAAGTCCATGCCTCAGCACCTGACAAGCAGGGTGTTAGACAAGGGTGGTCTTCAAAGACTGGGAGGCACTGGATACTATGGTAATGGGGATGAGATAAGTACTTTAGACAGTTCACTCCTCATTGTTGTTCTAGTTGCATTCAGGGATTAGTCACTAGCCCCACACAAGAATGCTGAAGCTGTCTAAAATTGCTCTTTTTAACCCCTACCAATGAAGAACATGGTTTAGTGACCTACAGGCTTTTCTTTATGTAAAAGATAGGTTTCGTTCCACAGTTAACAGTGCCTTTCAGCATCCCATCACTTTCTCCAGCACCCAGCTTTTCCTTGAAAGTCTCCCCTCTAATGTAGATTGAGCTGATGCTTGGGAGTTTTGCAAAGATCAAAGGTCAAGTTGGTCTAGCTGAGATAATCTCCTTAGCAACAGCTTTCAGGGTGGCTCTGGTGGCCAGGTCATGAATCTGGACCTGTGGAGTTTACTATACCGTTATACTCCACTTCCATTGAAAAAACAAGTTTGTGGGCCTCATGATTGTGGAGGTAATGTAGGAAGTGCTAACTGAATGCAGCTGATGCTGTGTTGCACATTTGAATCTGTGGGCAGCCTGAAACGGTAGCTCTGAGTGGTGCGACTTGTCCCACTCATCTCAGCTGTGGCTCTGGGAATTCTTCAGTTCTGCAACCACAGAATATGGCCTTTTTCCAAGAGGCCGTGAAATTCCTCATTTTTGCACCAGAATTCACCCTTTAGCTGGGTGCTCACTGTTTCGTTTGTGGTCTGCCTGCCCCTGCCAGAACCTCTCAGTAGCTGCCTGCTGATCTCCAGCATAGGTTGATGAGCTAGGACACGTGATCTACCGAACAGTAACTTGAGGAGCCAGGGAGATGAGATACTGAGCTTCCCTTCTGTGACATTTTGGTTGCCTGAACACCGAGGAACAGAAGCCCAGGGAAAAGAGCTGAGCTACCTCAAGATCACAGAAGGACATGGGTGGGAGTGGGGGGAGGGGAAACATCTCTAAAACGACTCATTACTGCAAATAACAATCAACGAATGTACTCTTCCAACTGGGAGCAACGGGGGTGGGTTTTTGCATGGGAAGGAGGAATGGGACAAGTTAGTCCCGATGGGAGGGTAAACTGCTGTTGTGGAATTTAGGGGATACAAAGAACCACTGGTATCTTTTCACCTCAAAAAAGCCAGCAGGCTGCGTTCTCAGTGGGCAGATAGACACGTACCCAGGTAGAGGCAAATCACAATGGCAGCTCGGGCAGGTGCAGAAAAGGATTCCCTGCTAACAACCAGAGCCCAGCAAGCCCGGCATGAGCACTCGGCACGGCCTGGGCAGGGCCTGGCACCAGCCCAGCGCTCTGATCAGTTACCTCCAGTGTCAGTTTCAGCCGGGGCTTTCTGCTGCCCATCCTCTCCTCTCGTCTCGTCTCGTCTCATCGCTGGATTATGTTGCCGAGACTCTTTCCCTCCCTCTGAGCTAGCCCTCTCCCAGAGACACTTTCCCAGATTCAGGTCAGGAGAGAAACTGGGATCCAGGGGAGTTTCAAGGGATTAGGAAAGAACTTGCCTCTGGGAAACTCTTTCCTGCATCTGCCTGGATTAAATTGTACAAGGAATATTGGCACATTTGTAACTTGGCAAGGAACTTGTTAAAAGCTAAGCATGTGGAGGCAAAACACCCCCCCCACACGCACACAAACACACACTCCCTCATCGCTGCAGGGAATATGGTGAAAGATTTCCTGAAAAGGAGGAGAACTAGGTTTGTGTCACATTTTCCTGCTCTAGGATGAATACCGAACATGCAGAAGGAGTTCTGTATTTCACCACGATAAGTCTTGTCTTGCTATATATTCCCTAGAAGCGTCCATAGCCAGCTAGAGGAAGAACGGGATTACAGTATCCTGAGCACCAAGTGAATCATGATTAACTGAAAGCAGGAGGAACTTTTTTCCAGACAGTTTACCATGTTCTGTTTTCATTACATCGCCCTAAATCCAATAAACCGAACATGTCTTTTTAATTAACAGTGGTGCCCTTATTTGGGTGGAAATAATGACATCAAGGGGGGTGGGGGAAGCAAGAGTTAACAGAGTCAGGCTTTGATTTATAAGTTCCATCTAAGTTCCCTTCTTTGATCTGGTTCAGTCTTGAGCAACATCAAATATTATTTGTATTATGACAACTGTCTCAATAATTAGGAAGATGCCGTCACTTCTTGGTTTTTCCGAATGGCTATACAGTAACCACAAGTTGACAGGGGCCGTATTTTCAAGTGTTTGGGACCTGCAGTCAGAGCCAGGCTGTCCAAAGGGCTCATACTACAGAGGTTTTGCGAAAATCTGATTGCTTATATTGGTGCCTAGATCGGAGCCGATTCTTCTACCAGCCTGGTCTGATGTTTATCCTTTCTCTTGAATTAGGCTTGTCACTGATCCCCAGTCATGCTCCTTGGCATGCTTCCTTCCTCTCATTTCCAATTAATACCCTTGGACCCATTTATTAAAACATGGGAAGATTATAACCCTTGAGCTAAGGTCAGGCCATTCAGTACACCATAAAACAGCAATAAAAGGAGCATACTCTATTGAAGGTCACCTTTAAACTAATATGATGGCATCCTTTAAAAAGTGCTTTGTATGCTGTTTTTATGCTGATAATAAGAAACAGATTGAACCATTTGAAAGCATTTGCCCAGTACAATAAGCAGTGGCGAGGCCTGCATGCACTCAGGCTGTTTTCAGCTGAGGAATAAGCTGTTGAACTTTTTGTCTGAAGTCCCAAAGGAAAGTATTTTTCTATCATGTAGGCTGGAATAGCAATTGCAGCAAGAGCAACTGAAATCCAGGCTTTCACACTGGAGCACTGTGGGAAAGAAAAGAACCTCAATTAATAAAGACAATGTATTGTGCAATAGCTTTGCTGCCCTTTGTAGCTTTATTGGAAATATTTTTTTAATAAACGGTTTTTCTCCTGTTAGTCTAGCAATAAGGTATACATCATGTGCTTGTCAAATCACAGGCTGGTGCCATGGAAATGTAGAAATGTCACTACAAGCACCATGAGATTTTGTGGGTTTTAATTTTTAAATACCCACAAATGCACAAGTTTCCTTTTCTAGTTAGTTATGCTTCCCAGATGGCCCTGTTTGCGATGTTAACACAGGTCCGTTGCATCGAGTTACAAGATGTTCTTGGTGCTTCGACTCCAGTGATTTGTATCTGGAGTCTCTCGGTATTTTAGGAGTACTGCTGCCCCACTTCTTGGGGTCTGGCGACTTATGTGAGAATCTCAGCTTTCATTAAATAAAACTAACAAAAGGCCTAAGTCTGGAATCTGCACAGTTGGGGAGACAGGTTTGGAAACATATGAACCCTAAGGCAAAAAAACCAGGAGCCCAACAAAAGGATCCAAAATGTTTTTTGGGTTTTTTTAAGATCTCGTGATTTTTTTTGAATGCTTCAGCTTAGCATTACCACATCCTCCTGTTTCTCTTGTTAATGAATTGCTTATGTTCCCAGCACAATTAAGGGTTTGTAGCTTTCCTTGAACAGGCGAGTGGTCCTCCTGGTTTGCATGATACTACTCACGTGAGGAAGGCTTTACAAGATTAGGGCCTCTGCTTTTAGAGAGGGGCCCAGACCCTGGGCTGCGTCCAAAAAGCACTCAGCACAACTGAGACAAAGGATAAAAGGATAAGTTACATCTACACATGCATTTAAGTGCAACTAAATTTAACACACATTAAGCCAATGCGCATTAAGTGATTTTTGGCAGGTGTCTACACATGCAGAGACTTGGCACTAAAGTTAGTGCCGGGTCACGTCTATACGTGCGTTAATGCACTTTAATCTCGCCTAAATTTGATACCTGCATTTGCAAATTTAGGTGCCATTAGCCTAATTTCACCACTGTGAATGTGGATTAAGGGCACGCATGTGTAGACACGTGTCCGCAATAGATTTGAAATTAGGCTAACATGCATTAACGCGTCTTGTGTAGACGTGCCCTTGTGTCCACTTTACTATGGGGCCAACAGGCTCCTTGGCCATGCTCCAGCACAGAGGCTGCCCTAGAGTAGAGGTGTCTTGGGCAACCGCCCCTCTAACAGTACACCAGGAGCCAAGAGAGATGGTGCTACAGCTGCCTGAGGTCTCCAGGCATGGAAGAGTAACTTTAAAGTGCCCCATCTGCTTGATGCAGGGTCCAGGGTCTCTCCTGCACCATGCCGTGCCCGCGAAATGCAGTGCCACCTGGGAGGCGATACTGTAGGAAGCTTACCTGATCCATTTGCCTCCTTTTAAAACACTAGCAGCAATTTATTAGCTTCACTGCCTTGGTTTTGCATTAATGCTCTCACTGCCTTGAATTTCCTTGCTTGTCTCTTTTATCTGAAAGAGGGAAGAGAACCACCCGTGCCTGATAAGGTTAGCATTTAAAAGTACCCAGCTGAACCCTTGGTATTCATCACAACGAGGTGCAGGAGGTAGTGAAAGCAGATGGGGCAGAGCTAGTTCCTGCTGCTACTCTTTGGGCAGATGTCTGTGAGGCTGTGTCTGGGCAGCAGCACCTCTGGAGTGAGATCTTTAGAGACCAAGGTATACATCAGTCCAATGATCCTCTCAAAAAAGCTCCATTAGCCTCAGCATGACTAACGTGGAGGCCTTTGGGTTGCAGTTTCAAATCTCACCCATTTCTTAGCATCTGCAAGCATGGAATCTGCTCGGGATAGTGGGAAACAAATAGTTTCCATCCCCCTTGCTCCTGCCCAGGTCTTTTGTTTTCCACGAGGCACTCCAGCATCCACTTGCAAGTGGAGTAAAGATGGTGGGGAGGGGAGCCAGGCTCTGGGATGGGTTCGTGTCGCTACCGCATAGAAGAGCTTCGGTACCTATGGTTCCCTCCTCTCTGCCAGCAGGCAGGGGCGCAGCGGATCTGTCGGGAAAGGGAGCCTCATGTTTAATTCTTTCTCTCTCTTTCAGAGTGAAGTCAGACCCTTTTCTATCTCCTGGGACTGAATATTAAAGCGATGGTCGCTTTAGCCTCCTATGATTGGTTGATATTTTGCTCTGGCAGGACCCAGCACCTGTTGCTGTATATTACTCTATAGGGACTGAGCTGGACAAGAGGCTGAAGGCTGGACGGCTGCATTCAAGCCCTAGGTATGACTTTGTGTTGCTTTTAACCCTTTTCTTTGAATGCAGACAAGCCCCGGGGCACAAAGCGTTTGCCTGCATTTGAATGCAAGCTCGCTGGCTAGCGGGTGACAAGGCTGCACACAGACAAAGCCTGTGGTTCGGCTGCCTTGAAAGAGCTGATGGGGAATGGAAGGGGGCTATTTTTGGAAGCTTCTTTGATGTGTGTCAGCGGTGGAGTCGCACTTTGGACCCGAGCTAGTTTCTGAAACGTGGCTGCGGCCAGGGAGGTAGAACCGCGTGGTGACTGCATGCGTGTTCTCCGTGCCCACCTGCACTAAATGCTCCACAAGCAGCGCCCTGCGCTAAGGCATATACAGCCAACATAGCACACACACAGGCGGAGGGTAAGCCCGACCTCGAGACCTCCTTCAGTGAGTTTTTCTCAGGAGGCGGGAGGAGGGGCGGGAGCGCAGACCCAGAGCTGTGCATGCTGGAGCCAGCCTGTGGCATCACCATGTTGTCAGGAACTTAGCTGCTGCTTTGGAAAACTTCTCGAGGCCTCTGACATCTTCCCAAAGTCAATTCTCTTCTGCTGGCTGATGCAGCCCATTTTGTGGCCCTCTTGATCATGCTGCCTTGTTGCACTAAACTGTCCAGCGAGGCTACTTTGCTTTACAGAGGCAAAAACTGTGCTGAGTTGCACGATGGATGTGACGGGGTCCCTGTGTCCCTGGCTCAGCTATTGGGATCCTAAAACAATAAAGGGAAGGGGTATACACACACATGTATATGGGCATGCAGACATGTGCCAACTCCCAGCCTCCTGTGCATTAGGTAGGGGATGAGAAAAGTGGACCAGACGATGTCCAGTAGCAAGCACGGGTTACTGCAGAACTTCTAGTTTTAGCTGCTTAGAAGTAGACCCTGATCTGTATCCTCAGAGCAGTCCCGTCCCTGCGGAGAAGCCAGTGCGAGGCAGGGAGTGGCTGCAGAGGAAGGAATTGCAGGAGGGATGAAGTCCTGTCCTCACATCCCTCACCACTGCCTGGAAAAGGAGGCTTCAGGCAGAGCGAGCACAGCAGCCGCAGCCGCAGCCGCGGCCCAACAGAGGAGGACAAATCCTTGACTCAGCACAGGGCAGCTGAGACCAGAAAAAGGTTTCTGCTGCGTCATCAACTTCCCTTCCTTCAAGGCAAAAAGCTGCGCTGCTCCTCTCTGTGCCTCAGTTTATTCCTCTTTAAAATGGGCCCGCTGGGCAGCAGAGTGCTGAGACCATGTTTTGCGGGATAGGAGACCTCCGAGAGCCTCAGGCAGCAGCTGTACAGCAAGGCTTGCTGATCCCTGAGGCATTTACCCGCGCGTGTGATGCCCTTTTCATCGAGGCGCGCCACCCGCGTTGCTTGGTCACAGACAGCTTTGCTACCCCCCATCGGCCGTGCTCCCTAATGACCACGATGCATTTGTTTTTGCCCCTCTGTTCAGTGAGAGACGTGGAGGTGATATGGCAGCAGGCCCCTGTGAGGCATTGGAGACAGACCTGGAATGTCCTGAGGCTGTAGAAGAGCTGCTATTACAGGCAGAGGGCATTCAAAGGCGGTCGAGGGAGGACATAAGAGAAGGTACCTTGTCCGCATGTGGTGCTGGAGGCTGCGCTGGTGGGCTTTCCCTGCAATAGCTCCACAGACTGCTTTTGCCTGCCAGGCGTTAACAAATACAGTCAGGCTGTGCTGATGCCGTTGGAAAGATGCCGCAAGGTGTCTTTGAGGGGCTCGTGCCCACGAGCCTGCTCCGTGCAGTGAGACTGGCTTACCGAAATGACGGCGTGCCTCCGAACTTGCCAGGAGCTGTCGTGCTGCCGTTTAGCAGTGTGCTAAGACCCCCACCAGGAATGCCTTAGTCTTTAAAGGTGGTCTGCAGAGTGAAAATGTGGGGTTTTTACTGTTGTGGCACTGAACTTTGTTTGCAAAGAGCCCCAAAGCAGATCTTAACACCATTTTTTCCTGTTTCCTTGTGTTAGAAATTCAGGCTTCATGCACTGCTTCTCCCAGAAGACTTTCCCAGCGGCTGGGGAATTAGTAGGTTTAAAGCCTGTTTAGCCAGGTAGAGACATGATTGACTGAGAGGTTTGCAAATTTGTGCTTTGGAGAATGCTTGTTTAACTCAACCCCAGAGAGACAGCTGGGAGAAAAGCTCTTTGTGTTAAAGATTGCCCCTGTAATAGGGCAGCGAGCACTCCCTGTCTATGTTGCTGGGTCCTTTAGGGCAACCTGTGGCATCGTAAGTGGCCCAGACAGCCTCTGTATGTAGCACACAGCAAGTCAGGGAGGGGACAGGCAGCACAGTGGCAGATAGGATATGGGACAGAAAGCAGAGCAGCAGACAGGGTAGGGAAAAGGGACTGGAGTGGCACTCGGAGAGCATGCAGGGCCAGTTTGTGGCACAGCTTCCAAGAAGGTTGGCCCCCACTGCTCTCGGCAGATCTAAGACCTCCAGAAAACAGGGAAAACCAGAGTTTGATGCTTCTTGAGGGCAGGATAAGGCCTTTAGATTCATTGGACACTAAAGAAAACACTAAATCCCCATTCAGTCGTAACTATTGTAATATTTCTTGTATTGAACGTTTTGACACACAAACTGAAGGAGATAGGCTAAGACTGGATACACGAGCTGACATGGGAGGAGAAGATCCAGCATGGTCACTAATGAACTGTCGCTCACCGTCTTGAACCGCTGGAGAAATCTCATTCCCCGCTTGCTTTGTTCTCCTTTTGTCATCGCTTGTGACTCGTCTCAAGAGCCATTAAAGGACCTGACTTTCAGAAACGCAGAGCATCTGCAGTTCTCTTTGCTTCCAAATGTAGCTGTAAAGGCTCAGCGGGTCTAGCACTCGGGCCCGTGGAGCGCCTGCCAGGGCATCCCCAGCGCGCAGGCACTAAATATCACCACGGGCGCAGCTTGCGAGGTGAGAGGAGCACGGCGCGCAGAACGAGGGGCTCCGACGGTGCGTATTTGTGCAGCCCGCTGAGGTTGGCAGTAACCAAGAAGCCCCAGCCTGCAAGTTTCCAGTAGCGTGGAGCCATCCTCCAGCTCACCTGACTTGTGAGAGATCAGGCTTTAAAGGCCTGGCTTGGTTTCTCAAACTGACTGTGTCTTGTATTGCCGTTTCAAGGATGACTGTAGCCAATCTCAGACCTACGCCCAGAGACCTTTCCTGTCCTTTCATGTCTCTAGAGTGGAGAAACTCCCGCTGGGGGGCTGTCATGGTAGTGGCCACTCAGGATCCATGAAGTCAGAGAATTAGGTCCAGGGGCTGCTGGAAACATGTGGACAGACCACCCTCATGACTTACTGCTCTGGAGGCTGCGATTGCCCCAAGCCGCCCCCGAGGCCAACCCTGTGTTTGATGCATCCCAGAAGCAGAGAAGGCAGCCAGGGTGCCTGACCGGCAGCCAAATGCATGTGTTAGAGGGAGCATATCAGGCAGGAGCCGGACAGGGGAGCCTCGCGACAGCTCTCCCAGCAGCCTGCAACTTGCACTTCGAGGCTCTGTTCCTACAACCAGATCCGTCACTGCAGGGACACAGGTTGCTACCAGGATGAGGAGGTCTGCGTGTGCTGTGGCACACTCAGTGACGCACGTGGCTTGTGACTCCTACTTACCTGTGAAGCCTTATGCCCCGTGTGACGCTGCTGCATGATGACTGCTTTTTAGAAGACCATCCAGTAAAACCTCTCCCCTGCCCAGTAACTGCATTGCCTTCAGTGCTCGACACCTAACTCCCTTTTGGCCCGAGCGAGAGATCCCTCCCAAGTGTGTGCACTTTGGGGAACAGACATCATGGTTGCTACAAAGACTAAAGCAAACATCCTACCCTTGAGCCTAAAGGAGAATTTATTGGCAGTACCAGCATGGTTTCCATCTCCTCTGTCTCCAGCGGCTAGCTGCTGTGATGGTGTCATAGTCTGAGCCCCCGAGGATGTCCCTGCTTCATGGCTTATTCGTTATGCATTTTCTCTTTCCCAGGTACAGAGGTGTCACAGGGCAGCGAGGAGGTAAACAGTACGTCACATGTAAGTAGCACACATCTGCACTCCCAGAAAGTCTGTACCTCTGGGGGGGTGCTCTGTGCATGCTGGCCTGGGTTGTATGATGCCGGATGTTTGCAATGGGGCCATCCAGGCTAGGTAGGAAGCTGCAGAGATCTGGTATGAGGGTCATAGGATCCTGGTGGGGTCCAGTGTGGAGCTGATCCCCCTTTCCCAAGCTGTCTGGGCACCTCAGCAGCAGGACCTTGCATTCATATTGCTTGGCTAAAATCATTCAGCCCTAAAGAACAGGGCTGCCCTGGCAGTTCCCCACAGAAGTGGGGAAGGAGGCAATGACGAGACAGATGGGGCACGTGCTTGGCTCAGAGGAGCATAGACTGGATGCTAACGGGGGCTTCCAACAAGCTGACTTGTGAGGTGGTGGGAGCCGGACGTGCTGAGCAGGGCAGCGTGCCACCCCGCAGGCCTGGCAGAGCCCAGCTACTCTGCTCATCTCGGGTGCTTGGTCTGCAAAGGAGAGCTTGCTGGCACCAAGGGGCTGGAGAAGCCAGGGAGGGGGGAGCACGTGGTCCAAGTTACTGAGGCAGAAGGAAGCTGAGGCCGGGCACGTGGATTTCTGGCCTGGGAGAGGT